TTTGAAGAGAGTTCACAACAAAGATATTAAATTGCTGCCGAGGGTTTAGACATTTAACTTTCAAGAAGTTAGATTGATGATGATCATTATTTTCAATATTGTTGTGTATTTACCCAGCAGATTTCCCCCAAGAGCCAGAGGGCTGAACAGAACCTGAAAGCCAGGGTGCGGCAGGCCTGAGGCCTTGAACTAGCCTTTCGGGTAAGAGAAACCCCTGCGGAAAGAGGAAAGGAGCCCCCTCGGCCTGTCTGGCATGCTCCGTGCAGGGGTCCACAGGTCCCGAGCAGCTGTAACGCAACCTGGAATCCGTGCTTCAGAAGCAGCAAGACAAACCTCGGCTGTAGAGCACAGCCCAGCTGAGGCCACTCTCTCCACTCAGCTCAGGTACAATCTGTCCAGGCTCCAAGAGCAAAGGGCACTGCTACTTCGGGCGTTCATTTGCTTCTTCCTCCCCATAAGAGGGCCGGGAGCATTTTCAGGACTGCAATCCATACCCATAGATGCTGAGGGCCCACCCCTGCTGGGTGAACACGACGGGAGACTGGCACCTGAACTTATCTTCTACTCAGCTCTGTGAGACTGGGCAAACCATTGAATCCTCACTTCCCTCAGCTATAAATACACTGGGCTGGGCAGATCTCTAAGGTCCCCATCAGCATAAGAGTCTATGTTTCCAAGGTGACAGAAAAACAAGGTTGAAAAGGAAATACATGTAAAGGAAATAAAAAACTTTAATTTCAAAAAAAGTCACCTCACGGTTTGAAGAAGCATGAAGAGAATGGTTCAAGTCACGATTTCACAAACTTATTATAAATAAACTAAACTTTATTCCATTAATGCAGTCTTCAACTCTACGTGACAGAAAAAAGATGACTTACTGGTGATTCAATGTCCTCCAGGAGTAAAACAGAACAGCGTTCACATTTCAACAGAGTTTGGGCCCGATGCATTATTTTCTTGACAATTTTCTCCAAGTCAGTCTGTTCTTCAAAGAGGTCATTAACCACCTCTAGCAAAGCCTAGGAAAGATGAAATGGATGTATTTAGGTGGATATAGGACTGAATAAAATGGTTTTTTTTTCCTCTCAAGATTGCGTTTAGTCTTTGCTATAATAAAATATAAATATTTTTATGTGGCTGATTTTTAAAGCGTTTATGATTGTTTTGACATATTTCCATCATTTTGTTTTATAACACAGTTTTCAACTGCAAAATACAACTTGAGAAGAGTGCCTGTCCACATAATCCCATATAAATCCCACATATAGGTATATGACTATATCCCATAAAGCTAATGACCACATGATCTCATATAGTCATTAGCGATAGGCTTTTTTCCCCTCCTACAGTAGTTTTTTCTGCCATGCGACTAGGTATAAAGCCAACATTCTTTAAATAACGTATACCTGATTTTCTCCAAAGCACATTTATTTCAGAAAATTACAAAGCAGCTCTTCCTCACCATAAAGAAAAAATAGCTTCGTGATCAAACTTGAGACTTATTTTCACTAACACACATCTCTCACAGAACTCTGAAAGAATTATAGTGGTGAATGCTAATTAAGTTTCAGAGCCTTCCAAAAAATATATAAAACCCCCATTAATCCCTCTACACAAGAAGTATTGCTGCATACCAATCTGTCCAGGCGAATATTTAAATACTATTATATATCTCAGAAAAGAAAACACTATTAAAATTTCTGTTAAAAGAACAGAATGAAAAGCACACAAATTAAAGGAAAAGAACCCTTAAATTCTAACTAGAAAACTGTGAACTCATTTAAAAATGAAATTGTAGTAACCTGTTATTTTATCCAGCTAAGTCAGCTTGTGATTTTTGCATTGAAATAATATTTATTTGGAATTTTTATTTACATGGCTGTTTCCAGAGATTTAAGAATAGTGGGTTATGTACACGTAGTAGATATTATGCTTCTATCAGAGAGCAATCAGAAAATTACACAGCCAGTGAATTGGCCAGAGGGTGCTTTACTCAGTAGAATTTAATAAGATGTGCACTCTCAAGTCTGATCCCTCACAAAAGCATCTCATTAGTTTTCATGGGTTTTCACGTCGATTCAGGTAGATGGTGTTGATCACCATCCCAGGGAGGTCACTAATTTTCAACTTGGGTAGGAATGAATTTGATTTGTCTTGAAACGATTTGAAACATGTCAAAATTTCTTCTCCGAGTCTATTCAGGTAGAAAAGCATTTGAATGAGTTAGAAGATCCATGAAATGAGTCTAGTTCACGGAACATCCAGAAGAGGACCAAATAGCCTTGGTAGCATTTTCTCTAAAGAGAACTTGTGAATATGGCTAAGGGCCATGGATAGCTCTACGATCCCAGAGCAAAGAGAAACACCAGGAGGTGAAAAAAGTTTGAAGTGTGTCCTGACAGTTTGGCATTTGGATAGCAAATCACTGAAAGAGGTCAATGTGCAATAATTTAACATTCAAATATAACATTAAAAACGAGGCAATTGTCTGGGTAATTACCAACAAAATTCCCTGTTGTTATAGGGGAAAACATTATTTCCTTAATCATCCACGCTATTTCTTCAGATGGATCATATTAACTGAACAATTATTTAACTTTTCAATTTGTTGTGACTGCATGGATAGGGCCTCTGGGACCCATATACGAGAACATTTATCTCAGAGGAAAAACTAATTGTGCCTTGAGTCTTGCACTGACAAATCACATTATAGTAATTTTATTGTTTCTAATTAAAAATTGCTGCTTTACTAACAAGTGATAAAAGTTTCACAAATAACAATGCAGACTAGCTCCAGAATGGGAGAAAAAGAGAAAAAAATCTAGGATGATATGTAATTTAAGAGACATTGGACGCCTGCCACACAGTTGAACACTCCCTGCTTCCTGATTTCACTTGCATTCGCCCCCCTCCTTCTTCTAGTGACCTTCTTTTGCTGCTGATCTCATCCTTGGACCTCTTCCCTTCTCTTATCCACACATTCTCCCTCAGATTAACACTAGTTTTAAATACCACCTATATGCTTATGGTTCCCAGATATTAATGTCGAGTCCTGACATCTTAAAACTTTAGACTTCCATATCCAACTGTTAACTTACTAGCTGTACCAGCCAAAAGTCATTTTCACTTGTTTCCCACATCAGTAAGCCTTGTATATTTCACCACTAATTTGGGGGGAATCTCTCACTTTTCACTGCCCTAGTCCCAACCATATTATTTCTTTTTCTTTTTTTCCAGCTTTATTGAGATAGAATTGACATATAACTTTGTGTGAGTTTAAGGTGCACAACATGATGATTTGATATACATATTGTGAAATGATTTCTAAAATAAGGTTAATTAATACATCCATCACTTCACATAATCACGTTTTTGTGGTGAGAACATTATTTACTCTCTTAGCAACTTTCGAGTATAAAATACAGTATTGCTAAGTATAGTCACCATGCTGAATATTAGATCCCCAGAACTTATTCATCTTATACTTTGAAGCTTGTATACTTTGACCAGTATCTCTCCATTTCCCCCACCCTCCAGCCCCTTGCCATGACCATCCTATTCTCTGTCTATGAGTTCTGCTTTTCATAGATCCAACATATAAGTGAAACCATACAGTATTTGTCTTTGTCTGACTTATTTCACTTAGCACAGTGCCCTCAAGGTCCATCCATGCTGTCACAAATGTCAGGATTTCCTTCTTTCTTATGGCTGAATAATGTTCTATCATATTTTTATACCACAATTTCTTTATCCATTAATCCATCGATGGACACTTAGGTTGTTTCCATGTCTTGGCTATTGTGAATGAACATAGGGGTACAGATAGCTCTTTGAAATAGTGGTCTCATTTCCTTCAGATATATACTCAGAAGTGGAATAGCTGGATCATACGGTAGTTCTATTTTTAATTTTTTGAGGAACCTCCATACTGTTTTCCATAGTGGCTGCACCAACTTACATTCCTATCAACAATACACAAGGGCTCCCTTTTCTCCACAACTTCACCAACACTGTTATCTCTTGTCTTTTTTCTAATAGCCATTCTAACAGGTGTGAGATGATCTCTCATTATGGTTTTGATTTGCATTTCCCTGATGATTAGTGATGTTGAGCATCTTCATATGTAGCTGTTGGCCATTTGTATGTCTTCTTTGGAAAAATGTCTATTCAGATCCTCTGCCCATTTTTTAATTGGATTATTTGTGTTTTTTGCTGTTGAATTGTATGAGTTTCTTATCTATTTTGGATACTAACCCCTTATTTGATATATATGGCTCGCAAATATTTTCTCCCATTCCATAGGTTGCTTCTTCACTTTGTTGATTGTTTCTTTTGTTGTGCAGTAGATTTTTAGTTTGATGTAGTCCCACTTGTTTATTTTTGCTTTTATTGCTTGTGCTTTTGTGTCAGATCCAAAAAATCATTGGAACACTTTCCTTATGTTTTCTTCTAAAAGTTTCAAAATTTCAGGTCTTACATTTAAGTCTTTAATTCATTTCAAGTTAATTTTTGTGAGTAGTATAAGATAGGGGTCCAATTTCATTCTTTTGCCTGTGAATGTACAGTTTTCACAACACTGTTTACTGAAAAACTATCTTTTCTCCATTGCGTATTCTTGGCTCCCTTGTCAAATATATGTTGACTATTTATGCCTGGGTGTACTTCTGGGCTCTTGATTCTATTCCTTTGATCTATATGTCTATTTTTAATGCCAGTACCATACTGTTTAGCCAGCCCTGGTGGTCTACTGGCTAAGATTCGACGCTCTCACTGCCATGGCCCGGGTTCATTTTCTGGTCAGGGAACTACATCACCCTTCTGTCAATTGTCATACTGTGGCAGCTGCGTGTTGCTGTGATACTGAAAGCTATGTCGCCGGTATTTCTGATACCAGCAGGGTCACTCACAGTGGACAGGCTTCAGCGGAGTTTTCCAGACTAAGACAGACTAGGAAGGACTTGGCCACACACTTCAAAACAATTGTCCATGAAAACCCTATGAATAGCAGCAGAGCATTGTCTGATATAGCACCAGAAGATGAGAGGATGGTGCAAAAAGACCTGGTAGGGTTCTGCTCTTCTGTACACAGGGTCACAAGGAGTTGCTAACAATAACAAACCATGCTATTTTTATTACTATAGATTTGTAGTATAGTTTATGAAGTGTGATGCCTCTAGCTTTGTTTTTCTTTCTCAGGATTGTTTTGGCTATTCAAGATCTTTCCTCTCTGCTCTCTAGATATGGACCAAGTTTCTCTTGCCCCAGGGCCTTTGCACTTGATATTTCCACTGCCTGGAATGCTCTTCCCAGATCTTTGTGTGGCTTTGCTCCTTCATTTCATTCAGGATTCTGCTCAAATATCATCTCCTTATAGATACCTTCTTGATAACCATCTGAAATAAACATCCTCCCAAACTATCTTTCAGTGACCAGTCTCTATCCCTTTATCTCACTTCATTTTTCTACATAGTACTTATCACTACTTGATACTATATTATTTTTTATTTGTTTGCTTGTCTGTTATCTATTGTTCCCACTAGAACAGTAAGTTCTATGAGGGCAGGGACTTTGGACGAACAGTGTCTGAAGACCACCACACAATAAATATTTGTTGAATGAGTAAATGAATTGTGTCATATATGACAATGCAAAGATTAATAATACATCAAGCATCCCTTAAGGAGTTCAAATTGTAGTTGGAGAGGAGGGCCATCAATAAATTACATCAGTGTGGGGGCCGGCCCTGTGGCTTAGCGGTTAAGTTTGCACACTCCGCTACTGGTGGCCCGGGTTCAGATCCCTGGTGCGCACTGATGCAGCGCTTCTCCAGCCATGCTGAGTCTGCGTCCCACACACAGCAACTAGAAGGATGTGCAACTATGACATACAACTACCTACTGGGGCTTTGGGGAAAAAAAGGAGGAGGATTGGCAATAGATGTTAGCTCAGAGCCGGTCCCCCTCAGCAAAAAGAGGAGGATTAGCATGGATGTTAGCTCAGGGCTGATCTTCCTCACAAAAAAAAAAAAAATTACATCAGTGTGATAAGTTTCCACAATAGAACAATGGCAGTATATACAAGGCAAAACAATAAACAAAGAAGGAAAGATTGACTGGAAGACTGAGCTGGGTCCTGAAGAATATGCAAGGCAAAGGGCAGTGGGAGGAAAAAGGTGGAAAAGCAGAGGGAGAAACGTGGCTAACTGTATGAGAAAGTGAAACAAACAGTTTGTTTGCTGGAAATTGGGAACTATATTGCCGAAGTGTCAAATGAAGGGAGGATAATGCTAGGACATATGGCTTATGATGAAAACAGGATCCAAGTCAGAGAAAGGTATGGTATGCTATGGTAAAGAAGATGGATGTAGTAGTCAATTGTGTTCATCTGTTTACTGTGAAATATTCATAAATCATAATGTTAGCAAAGAAAATTTTTAATCAATTTGATTACCAGATTAACTGAAGGTTTCCAACCTTTTGGAACATCTTCTTGTCAAATATGTTTCTAAATTGTGACAGCAATTTCCTATATTTAAAAGTATAGTGAGCCTAATATAATTTACTCTCTAATAGTTTAGCTTTTTTTTTTTTTTTTGAGGAAGATTGGCCCTGAGCTAACAACTGTGCCAATCTTCCTCTATTTTGTATACGGGATGGCACCACAGCATGGTTTGATGAGCCATGTGTGGGTCCACACCCGGGATCTGAACCTGCGAACCCTAGGCCGCCAAAGCAGAGCACGTGAACTTAACCACTACACCACTGGGCCAGCCCCTAGTTTAGCATTTTTTTGAGCGTTGGTCTTTGTTTTTTTACTATTTAGCTCTATAACTAGTGAAGGTGTATGAGATCAACCCCTCTATGCATGTTTCTTTATAATCCTATAAAATAGTGTCTGCATTATTGTTCAGTTATCTTGTGATGCTCTTCCAGAAAACCTTTCAATTCAAAAACAAAATTCATGAGGTGGAGTGAAATCATTCCTAACTGCCTTGCTTCCTAAAGGAACTAAATTGTAAAAATATCACTAAATTGTGTTATTGTTTCAAAGCCATAAGTAAGTAAGAATATATCTGCTGCCTTACAGCATTGAGGTGAAATTAATTTCCTTTTTAAAAGAGGCTGGTACTATCTCCTCCAAACAACAGAGAATTTGTATCCACTTCCATTTGGGCTTATTGCTTAAAGGGGAACTTCAACCATAGACCTGAAGGATTAGACAAGTAAAAAGATTCCTGGACTATTCAAACAACCATAGACCTGAAGGATTAGACAAGTAAAAAGATTCCTGGACTATTCAAACATCATCTGTTGTTTTTAAAAGACATAATGACTCACAGACACTTTGACAGAGAGCTTTGAGGGTTGTCAGCAGTGTTTCTTTCTACTCACCCTGCTTCTTTCGTATTCTTTCCTTGAGGCAGCAAATAGCTGAGCATTAGATATGGCAATTCCACAAAATGGAAGATACATCTGCATGACCTGGGGGCAAAGAGAGGGTTAAGAACATTAAAATATCACTGAACCAAATTCCACATTTCCTGCACGTTCCTGATCGTAACATTTTCTCTTCAGCCGTAGAGACTGAGTATGGAGTTGTTGATACTAGTATCTTAACTTCAGAAGGGATACTTTTCAGAGTTAACTGTAAGACAGTCTCAATCAAGCTTGGACTAGGGATGGTCACATCTATGAAGACATAAAGTGAAGCAACAGACTATGATGGCGATGATACAGGAACCGTGTCTAAATCATCTTTGTATTCCTTCTTTGATCAATGAAAAATTAATAAATTCTGATATATCTAGAATTTAAGGTAAATGCTCACACTCACATTTGGAGGTAGGCAGGATACAAGTCAATTTCTTTGTACACATATGTCTGTAGCAAGGATCTCAGGTTGACCCTAGAACTCTGTCAGCTACAGATGTAAGTATGTCTGTTAGGATGGGCCCAGTGGGAACATAGGGGCCAGAGGGCCTAGTAGCCTCATACAAAAAAGCTCAAATTGTGCCCACTGCTCTGTTGACATAACTGGCCATGAATGCAAATTGGTGAGATGGTCCTACAGAAGTCTGTTTGAGGAAAGGCTGGGGATCTTTTGAGAGTGCTCCTCCTGATGCTGGCCCTGATATCAGTTCCCCTGCATTAAACCCAGCATATATGGGGTTAAAACCAAAAGCACTCATCCTCCTTCCCTGCTTCTCTAAAGTTGCTAATTACCGGTTCTTGAGGTTCGTTACAGGGAAACTGATATCCAGAGAATATCAAGAAGCTAAAGCTTCTCAAACCTCCTTGGCTCCCTGGTGCCAGAATCCGCCATCAACCACGGAGATGGTTGAAGGACGCCCATCTGCGATTCCCTTATCTTGCCATCCTCCTCCTTGCTAGCAGCCTCTCAAGGCCAAATGCAGGCTGGTGGGAAAGCGCAGACCAGCAAGGCCACAGGCTCCCCCTCCCTATAAGCAGCCACATTCCTCACAACCTTTAAAACACCTTGCCTCCCATTTTTCGGGGAGATGGGACAAATTTGAGAGCTCTTATCTCCCAGCTGACATCCCCCGAAATAAAAACTCTTTCCTTGCCATAAGCCTGGCATTCCAATTTTATTTGGCCCCTCTCGTGTGGCTGGTAAAGAACCTGGGTATGTATCTAGTAACAAAAGTACTTCAGGGCCGGCCCCGTGGCTTAGCGGTTAAGTGTGCGCGCTCCACTGCTGGCGGCCCAGGTTCGGATCCCGGGCGCGTACGGACACGCCGCTTCTCTGGCCATGCTGAGGCCGCATCCCACACGCAGCAACTAGAGGGATGTGCAGCTATGACATACAACTATCTACTGGGGCTTTGGGGGCAAAAATAAATAAATAAAGTACTTCAGAACGCTGTAGAAGCTAATGCCGTGATCTCACTCTCAAAAAAGAGAAACAGTGGGAATGGTATTAAGGAGAGGTACAGAATCAGTGAGTTGATTTTTACAGATCTTTTCAAGATAAACTCCTTCACTGAATTTGATTCAAAGTAAACTAATATCTAATGAGGACTTGCTATGTGCCAGACACTTTCACTTCATTTCTTCATTTGAATCGCACATCAACTCCTCAGGGAGGAATGTTATGTACATTTTAGAGATCAAGATACTCAGTAACTTGCCCAAACTCACACAGGAACTCAGGTCATCTAATTCTACAACTGATGATCATTCCCTACAACATGTTGCCTTCTAGAACGAGATGTTATTTCTGTCACCCTCTCTTTCCCCTTCTTTACTACTCCCCCTCATGCCTTAGGAAGTTTGTCCATAAGCCAGTATAAAGTTGTTGACATAAAGCTGCCAGATACTCTGCCAGAATTTCCCTGCCTTTAGCCAGAATGGGACCATTTTCAATATCACCTACACACACAGAAAGCACTTTCCTTGCAGTTTTCTGTTTTTTCTCTGCCATGGAGACAGTGACTATGGTGGAGGTGGAGGGGAGGAGGAGATATGAGTTATTTAGTTTAAATCTCCCTTCCTCCCTCCCTCCCTCCCTTTCTCCCTTACCTCCTTTCTTCCTTCCCTCCTCCCTTCTTCCTTCCTTCCTTCCCTCCTTCCGTTCTGCATTTATTTGCCTTCAGGGGCCAAGTCTAAGGGGGTTTATAGGTCAAGCAAATAGGAAGAAGAGAATGATCAAATGAACATGTGAAATGTTTTCTAATATATCATAGGCTTGCTTCAATTTATTTGTAAAACCCATATTTATTGAGCTCCAAGCACTGTGTATAATTAAAGACAATCTGAATTTTAAATCAGATGACCATTGTCCTTTATATGGCTGTTCTATGTGAAAGTGAACAAGTCATTTAACCTCTCTGAGACTATTTCCTTATCTGTAAAATGCCTGGTTTTACTGGTTAATCTTTCAGGTCCTTTTTACTTCTAATATTTGGTGATTCAAATAATTAGACACATTAGTGAGCTGCAATATTCTATTTGCTAGAGAAAACAAAGAATTCAATAAACATGCTCACATCTTATTAAAAAATAATCATCTATAATAGTAATTGATATTGACAAAAGTCCTTGGATATGATATTAAGCATTTTATATGTACTATATTGTTTGATCCTCACAACTATATATGTTATAGTATTCATTCCATTTTTCAGATGAGAAAACAGGCTTTATGAAATTATATCCAAAGTTTTGGGGAGATAATTCTCCATGGGTCCCTCACATTTCTGCACATCTTACAAACAAAGGCATTGGCTCTATTTTTCAAGGGTGTTGGTATAGTGAACAGCCTTGGAAAACAGATAGTGTCTTCTTCAAGAGCGAAGAGCAGAATTGTTTACTATGCAGTATAATTAAGATAATATCTCCTTCTGGGGTCGAGGTTAGGCAGCTTACGGTCATTAATAAAAGATTTGGGTTCCCCATATTTAAAGTTTCTCTCCTGTAACATATGCCCTGTATAATCTATATGATACTGTTACAAAAGATTTTTTCCCAAGTCAGAAGCACCTGTTCACATATCATTAAGACTATTGTGGGTTTTGTTCCGTTTGTCCTGTTGGTGTATATATATGAACTCCACAACATAGTTACTTAGTATTTGTAATTATAAGGTAAGAGCCCCAGGAACAATTACTAAAATTTATGTTAAATTTACTCCCTTTTTTACTGAGCCAGTTGCTATTGAGTTTATTTTCTCATTCCATTGATTCTTCCCTCTGCTACATTACATTTCCTTTATTTTAGTGATTAAACTAGAAATTTCATGAACATACTTAATAAAATCTAAATTTAACTTCTTTAGCCTCCTTCCAAATAAGACAAGGAGCTTGTAATACTTTAACACTACTTTCCTGGTATACATATTACTTTTGCTCTAGTTTATCCTGTTTTGTTACTGCAAATTGGACATTCTTATTATTATTAGCCAAGGCTTATTTAGATTTACCCACATGTTTACCAGTTTTTTCCTCTTCATTCCTTCCAGCATCTCCTTCCTTCCCTCTGGAATAATTTTCTTTCTTTTTGAAGACAATGCTTTAGAATATCCTTTAGCGTTGGTGGTAAATACTTTGTTTTTGTTTTGTATAAAAAGGTCTTTATTTTAAGATCAATATTAAAAGGTAATTTAGTTGGGTATACAATTCTAGGTTGATAGCTATTTTCTCTTTAATCACTGAAAAAAGGAAACGTAACGTAGCAGAGGGGAGAATCAATGGAAGGAGAAAATAGAAGATATCATTCTGCTATCATGTGCAGTTGACGCTGCTAAAAAGTCAGCTGTCAATCTAATTCCTTGTAGATCATCCATCTCTGTCTCTGGTTTCTTTTAGGATCTCTTTATGTCTTTAGTGGCCAATTTGTACTTTTCCAGCCTCAATCAAAGGCTTAATTGAATCGTATAGAACTCTAATATGTATATATTAACCAAAGATTACTGTGGATGGACACAGTATCATACCTTCATGACACATTGCAAACTGAGAGGGGATCTTTATCTACAAAAGGAATGATCTACCCTGTGTCATTCATTGCCACAACAATTCACCACTCTGGGGCCAGACTCAACTCCACCATGAATACCCACATTACAATATGACCTATAGAGTTTCTAAATAAACACGCAGGAGAAGCAGGCAAATACATTTTGAAAGGAAGAAGCTAAAGCAGTACAGAGATGGAAGATAATGAAAAGCAAAATATTTTTATATCTTTTTTTCAGTCCCAGTGCAACAGACGTCTTAAAAAAAAAAAAGATATACCGCTCTATTCTACTCTTTTTGAAGTCCCCCTCCTCCAAGAAAAAATGTTAATTTGGCCTTCACCATCCATCTAGTTTCTGAATGCCAAAAGGTCTAAAAAGCCTTAATGACTAAGAAGCTAATGAGTCTGCACACCCTTGTGCAGCACTTTTCAGCTTGAAAGCACTTGACGAATATTAGCTAATTAATCTTTACAACATCCCACTCAGAATGGGAGTTAAAGTGAAAACCATTAAACAGTGTGAAAAAGTCACTTTAGCCCTGGAAACTCATGAAAAGTATCACTAATAAGCATAAAATGTGAGCACCGAGACCTTCCGTCAATGTCCTAAAGAAAGACAGTAGGTACCAAGCTTTTTCAAACTTACAAACCACAGGGAAAGGCTATTAAAGCCCCATGGTCTGGTCTGGTCCAAGTGTACATCACTAAAGAACGCTGGAGGTCTACACTGGAGATTCTCAGCCAGGGTCCTGCAGCTTCCCCTTTATGGACCCCACTCCTGAAGGCAAAACAGCTTGGAGAGCCACGTGACTGTCAGCCAGATTAATGGGTGAGAGAAGGTTTTCCCACCATCGTGCTTCCACATCTCCTTCCTCTGTGCAGATCCTGAGATTTGCACTGTCAAGTGTCTCTGCCCTCAGGCGTTACCTCTAAGGCAAATCTTCACTGATTCCCGCCCCGCTGATTTGAAACTGGGGATGTTTTAAGATAGTTGTAATTCAAACACTAAATAAACTCTTCCAGTAGAGTAATTTGGAAAATAAGGTATCAAAACATGGAAGCAGTCACATTCTTTTCACATAATGACACATTTTCTACAACTTTTAGAAATCAAATATTAAAAATAGTAAAAAATGAGTTCAATGTTTTACAGAGACTCCAGAGGAAATTTTTGCTTCCAAAGATATAGTTTGGTTCACTGCCATTTTGTTTCTATGCAAATTCAGTAAAGACAGCAGGTTAAGTTTTTATTTCAAGAATCAGAATCATAAACGAATCTTGTCAGCTCACACCAATTACACACTCTTGGCTAAAGCACGCCTTTTTCTATCAGTGCTGTGCCCTCTTTGAGGAAAACAGTCTCCAACAAAATACACAGAGACATAAAGTACTAACTTTGTTTAAAAAAAGAACATTGGCATATGGAATAGCTGACCCAGTTACATACTTTTTGAAATTGTCCACTTTAAGAATTAACACTCTAAAGAGAATGTGGGAGGGGGGTTTCATTCACAAAAATGAGACACCAAGGTGGCAAATAAAGGATGAGGAAAAGCTCACTTTTCCTCCGCTTTCCCTTCTTAGAAAAGAGAGATGTAAATTCTGCCCAAGGTAACAAAGCTGGGATCCCAGGGGAATTGGAATGGGCACCCTCCCACTGTTCTCACTACTCTCCTTCAAGATAGCATTGGCTAAAACATCCCCAAAAGGCCAACCATATCCAAGGACAGACAGGCTGAGTCCAGTTCCTGGCAAGTACCCTTGCAGCATCAGTACCTACTCTCTTTGACTTTTTAGAGGCTCTGGTCTGCTGAGCACCTGAATCATGCAAGTACTTGTCATCTCTTCCAATAACCTTATTTCCATTTGTGCCCATCCCCCAGCCCTGAGACTTTAGAAAAATAACCCTCTTATGTCCAGAAGCAGCTCTAAATCCCCTCCCTCTTATTCACAGACACTCCACTGAAGGGAAAACCCAGAAAGAACCCGTTTCAGGAGGCATAGCTTCTCTAAGATAATTTGTATTGGTTTTTTTCTGATCATAAGATTTCAACAGAAAAAAAAAAGCACTCATATTTCTACCGCTCAAGGGTAACCACTGTTAACATTTTGGAGGCTATCATTCAAGTTTTCCTCTCTCTTACTCCCTTCACATAAACTCAAATAGGCTGATCCTATATGTAATATTTTGTTATCTGCTTTTTTCGCTTTGTATAACCAGCTGTCACTTATTATGACCAATTTCTAAGGATGCAAAATATCCCATTGTATAGGCCAGAAAAAGAAAGTTTATAGAGAAAGAAGATAGATCAGCGGTTGCTTGGGCTAGTGATGGTAATGAGATTAACTATAAATGGAATAAAGGATCTTACTGGGGTGTGTTCTAAAACTGATTTATGATGATGGTTGCACCACTTTTTTTTTTTCGTGAGGAAGATCATCCCTGAGCTAACAACCATGCCAATCTTCCTCTTTTTTGTGAGGAAGACCCGCCCTGAGCTAACATCTATTGCCAATCTTCTTCCCCCCCCGACCTTTTTCTCCCCAAAGCCCCAGTAGATAGTTGTATGTCATAGTTGCACATCCTTCTAGTTGCTGTATGTGGGACACGGCCTCAGCATGGCCGGACAAGCGGGGCATCCGTGCGCGCCGGGGATCTGAACCCGGGCTGCCAACAGTGGAGCATGCGCACTTAACTGCTAAGCCACGGGGCCGGCCCCCTCACCACTCTTAAAGTTACTAAAAATCACTAAATTGTTCTTTAAAACGAGTGCATTTTATGATACATATAATATACCTCAATATAGCTGTTAAAAATTATCATAAAAATCTCACTCATTGTATGGATTAATATAGTTTACTTAGTCAATCACCCACTGCTGGACATTTGGGTTTCTAACTTTAGATTAACAATACTGGGATTAAACATCCTTGTAATTAAATCTTTGCATATCCCACAATTATTTTCTTAGAATAAAGCCCTCATACTTTAACTTATTTGTTTACTGTAACACACATTTATGCAGCACTTCCTCTGTACCAGGCAATTTTCTAAATGCTTTAGATATATTAATTCATTGATGCATGTGTACACTTTTTACTAACTCCTAACAATACACAAATCTTTACTTTTCATTAAAAAAACAAACAGTATAGAAGTGCACACAGTAAAATAACCACAGATCTCCCCTCATTTCCTGTCCTGCTACTCAGTACCCTCCCAGGGAACAACCTCTGTGAGCATTTGCGGGTATTCTCCTGGACCTTCTTTATTAACTGCATACATACAATATATAGTTTTAGGGGTGTTTTTAAACATAAGCAGGATCATACTCTCATGTTCTACACCTTTTATGCTTGGCAATATATCTTGGAAATCTTTACATATTAATTCAAAGAGATCTACTTAATTCTCTTTAATCTCTGCTGAATATTCTAAGAGGGGAATGAACCCATTAACAGACGTTCACATTGTTTCCAATTTTTCTCTGTTACAAATAACACTGCCATGAACTGTCTTACAAGTATATCTTCGTGCACCTGGACAATACTTCTATTGGACAGATTCCTGGAAGTGAAATTTTGATTGCAGAATATGTGCATTAAAAGAAATCTTAACAGCTACTGCCAAATCATCCTCCAAAAAGGCTCTACCAATTTATACTCCCACTAGCTGTAATCAGAGTACTCATTTACCTCTACTCACACAACACTGGGTATTATTCTTTTTAAATTTTGTCTGACAGACTAAATCAGTACTAATTTTTGCATTAACTTACATTTACTTGATTACTAGTGATACTGATAATAATTTGTTGGTTATAATTTCCATAATTTGTTGGTTATCTCTGTTTTTTAATAGGGCCTATTTATGTCTTTTGCTTAATTTTTACTGGACACTCATCCATTTCTTACTGCCTTGTAAGCACTCTTTATATTCTACGAGTATTAACCATCTTCTATTTTTGCAAATCATGAATCTTACTTGATAATTAGCAATTGTCATCTGTTTGATACTGTCAAATAGGCCTACAAGCTATGATTGCTTTGTCTAAGATGAATAGATATCACGGTTGAGTAAACTTGGCCTACTCCCTCTCACTATGTGAAGAGCTTTCACAACAGTATCTCCCTATATAACTCTGTCAAGGTTATTTTTATAAGCAGGTTGACCTACATATCTCATCCTGCCCATTGGCTCCATCCATCTTTGTAACTCAGAGCTCCTGTAAGAAATCAGTTTGAGCTACTGTTTGATCCAGGCATTCTTAAGTTTTAGCTATTAAGATCATGATGATTTCCCCACTTACCAAGCACGGGTATAAATGCAGGAAGCCACACTACATGGTAATTTAGTCATGGTATCAACACTTCGATGCTAGAAAAATCTTATTATATCACAATCAACGTATGAACAGAAAAATTCTTTAGACTATTTTCTGATGAGTAATATATATGTTTTTCTTTAAATCTGAAACATATTCACACTATTTCCTCCTATTAATAGTAGGATCTTTCCTTTCACCATCTCATTTATCTAGCTCCTTCTTTTTTATAACTCCTGGTTCTTAAAGTAGTGGCTATTTCATGTAAATGGCATCACATAATACGTGGCCTTTTGTGTCTGGCTGGCTGCTTTCACCTAGCACAGTGTTTTCAAGGTTCATCCATGTTGTAGCACGTATCAGTACTTCTTTCCTCTTTTTAATCTGTTTAACAAAATTATTAGACTTTATTTTTAGAGTAGTTTTAGGTTTACAGAAAAGTTGAGTGGAAAGTACAGAGATTTCCCATATACCTTCTTCCCTCTCCCAACACAGTTTCCTCTATTATTAATATCTTACATTAGTTGTGGTACATTTGTTACAATTAATGAGCCAATATTGATACATTATTATTAACTAAAGTCCGTAGTCTACTTTAGGGTTCACTCTTTGTGCCACATATGCTATGGGTTTTGACAAATGTACAATAACACGTACCCACCATTACAGTGTCATACAGAATAGTTTCACTGACCTAAAAATTCCCTGTGCTCTGTCTATTCATCCCTCCCTCCTTCCCAAACCCTTGGTAACCAGTGATTTTTTTTTACTGACTCCATACTTTTGCCTTTTCCAGAATGTCATGTAGTTGAAATCATACAGTATGCAGCCTTTTCAGATTGGCCTCTTTCACTTAGCAATATCCATTTAAGGTAACTTATGTCTTTTCACAGCTTGATAGCTCATTTCTTTTCATCACTGAACAATATTCCATTATATGGATGTGCCACAGTTCATCCATTCAACTATTGAAGGACGTCTTGGTTGCTTCCAAGTTTTGGCAATTATGAATGAAGCTGCTATAAACATCCATGCGCAGGTTTTTGTGTGGACATAAGTTTCCAATTCGTTTGGCTTAATACCTGAGAGTATGATTGCTGGATTGTATAGTAAGAGTATGTTTAGTTTTGTAAAAAACCGTGAAACTGTCGTCCAAAGTGGCTGTACCATTTTCCATTCTCATCATCAATGAATGGAAGTTCCTGTTGTTCTATATCCTCACCAGCATTTGATATTGTCAATGTTTTGGATTTTAACCACTCTAATGGGTGTGCCGTGATATCTCATTGTTGGTTTGATTTGCAGTTCCCTGATGACATATGATGTTGAGCATCTTTTCATATGTTTATTTGCCATTTGTGTATATCTTCCTTGGTGGGGTGTCTGTTCAGATCTTTTGCCCATTTTTTAATTGAGTTGTTTGTTTGCTTATTGTTGCATTTTAGGAGTTCTTTATATATTTTGCATACCAGACCTTTACCCAGATACATGTTTTGCAAAAATTTTCTCCCAGTCTGTGGCTTGTCTGTTTACTACATGTTATTTTTGTGAAAAGCTTAATAAGACTTTTTGTTTGTTTCTACTCTGATTTGAGAGAACATTAGGATTAATCAAAGATCTTAATATATTTCCCTATCTACTTTCAACTTAATCTCAATATCAGTCTATCCAGGGCCAAGGGAAAGGGCATGTTTTATCTGTGGAGGTAAGCCCTTTGCTGTGGTTTTTCATTTCTGTCTTTTCTGAGGGACCTTGGGGCTCTTCCTCTCTACCACTATCATTTCTGTCTCCTGTGTCTTGCTCCACCCCCTCCCTTCAAAGGGGGATGTGTTTCCCTTCACTTGGTATTTCTGTTTCCATCTTCACTGTGCGACCTGCATCTGCTTACCTTCAGGTCCTCACTCCCTGTCATCTGGCCTACAATCTTCGGTCCACAGGAATGGCTCACTGGAAGATTGTCTGTGACCTCACAATCACAAGATCACAAAATCCATCAACTATTCTAAGTCCTCATCCTCTCTGAAGCTCTTAACACTTGATCACCAGCTAGATATTAAAACTCTGGCTTCCATGCACTATACACTCCTATTTCTCTTCTGGTGTTTTTGACACTCCCAGTCAAGATATATTTCCAGATTCAGTCTTTGGCCTTCTAACCTTCTCTTTCTACGTTCTCCCTCTAAGGATTCATTTATTCTCACAATATAAGAATCCTATAAAATAAGGTGGGTTGGCTATGCAAGAATTAAACTTCAAGTGGGGCTGGTCTTGTGGCCTAGTGGTTACATTTGGCATCCTCTGCTTCAGTGGCCCAGCTTTGGTTCCTGGGCACAGACCTACACCACTCATCAGCTATGCTGTGGTGGTGACCCACATACAAAACAGAGGGAGATTGGCACAGATGTTAGCTTAGGACGAATCTTCCTCAAGCAAAAAGAGGAAGATTGGCAACAGATGTTAGCTCAGGGTGAATCTTCCTCAGCAAAAAAAAAAAGAAAAAGAGAGAGAGAGAGAATTAAACTTCAAGCAAAAGTCAGCTAGAAAAGACAACAAACTTGGTAGGACCAGATATTTAAGGCAGCCAAGAAACTTCATGCTTCTGCTTACGTGCTTCTCCTGCCTCACTCTTGAAGTCTGGTCCATCACCTCTGCCTCTGACTTCACTCTCCTGTGTCCCTAACCCCACTTCCTCTCAGCCACCCTCTGCTATCTTCCAGAGTCAGGTTTCAGAGTTTCACATCCTGACCCAACAACTTGAGCTCTGAAAAATATTTGCTTCCTCTGCGTCACAGTCTAATTTTAGCATTCCCAGTCCTAGATTGAACTCAACTCTGAATTGAGCCACATTAACTAAACAGGGGCCGAAGTCTCTTCCTTTCATCTCTGTCTTCAAAGTAACCTCTGGGATGATTCTCAAAGTTGGCTCTCTGGTCCTGACCTTTTCTGTCTACTTTAGTTCCACATCACCAGTTGCCTACAGGACATTTCAACTTGAAGGTCCATATACTACCTCAAACTCAGCATTCCAAAACATAATTTGTCCCTCAGTCCTCCTCTCCTCCTGAAGAAAGAGAGCTTCCTTCTCTAAAGTGCCCCATATGTGCCAGACAAACCAATAAAGATCAAATCACTCAGTTCCAAACCCTTGAAGCCATCTTTGATTGCTATCCATATATAGGCATAAGCAAGTCATATGAATTTAGCGGCTTTTGAAGCCTCCATCTCCATACACTTGAGCTTCTCGGCCCAGCACTGCTATCCCTCACCATCTCTGGATTATTTTAACAGGAGCCAAGACTATCTCATCCTTGCAATGTGCCAAGACTCACTAACCTTGGTTTTCCATCCGGAAAAGTCACAAATTTAAACATACTGACTGTTCGTCCCAATGTGCCCTGTCGTCATAATTAAAGAATGTAAGAAATAATATAAATGCTTTACACATATTAAAAACTAGGTTATTTTCAAACTACTTTTGTGTGAGCATTTTTATACCACATAACGGTATTTTTTAAAATCTCATTAGAAGCTCATCAGAAAGTATTTCCAATATTTAAGACTATGGCTTGGTATTTTACAGATGCTTATGGAAGATATGTAATAATCTCAGGAAAAATAGTGAGGAAATATAAAAGTGCTATTCAGAGAAACACACAAGACTCAGAGGGGATTCTTCTACTTGTATATCTTTTTTCCATTTTCCAAAAATAATTCATCATCAAAATGCAACACTAATGACATGGATAATAAACCATACTATTTTTTTAATTTCCAGCAATATTCTCCAGTGGAGAAGCAACAGAGAAGGCAATGAAAAATATGCTTAGAGCATTAATATTTAATTAATGTAATAGGACCCTAAAATGAATATTATAAATGTAAAAGCCTTGATCAAATCCATAAGTTGTGTCTGTTCTACTAAAGCACAGAATTGGTACCTAGCAATTTCAGGACATTTTTAATGGACAACCTTGAAGACAGAGCGAGGTTAAAGTTTGGCCTAACAACAAACAGAACTTTGGGAAGGGTTAATCATTTATTACCAGAGTGGAGTATCAATCAAAGAGGCAAGAGGAAGCTTTCTATGTGGTTCATCAGTACTTTAGCAAGTTTCTCATTCTATATCTTAGAACAGTCTAGCTAACAAGCTGGGAAGCTACCTTCAAAGCCAAAACGCTTTACTGCCCAATCCACACTTTCCACTCTTCACCCAGACTCAGTCTGTCAGCAATATAGTTTCCTCACTTCCTTTCCCTGCTGTTTCTTTTCATAATTCAAATATTTATTTTAAGGGCTAAATTCCATACAGAGTAAGACAAAAAAAAAAAAATACAAACCTGAATAAAGCACAATAAAGGAATTAATAAAACTAAAAGCTGGGGGCCAGCCTGGTGGCTCAGTGGTTAAGTGCGTGCGCTCTTCTTCGGCTGCCCAGGGTTCGCAGGTTCAGATCCCGGGCGCGCACCGATGCACTGCTTGTC